GGAGTCAGAGTGGGGTGAGCTCCCTGGCAGAGGGGGCAGAGGAGGTTTTTGAAGGCCTTGTTGGTCTGGAGAAAAGTTTGGATTGGGGTGGGATGGATTCATGGCATCACCCGTGGGTGTTTGGGGTATTCTGGGGGACCCAGCACCAATCCATGGGTATTCAGGGGGCTCTGAGGTTCTCAACACCAACCCATGGGTGCTTGGGGTACTTGGCACTAATCCATGGGTGCTTGGAGTGAATTGGGGTACTTGGCACCATCCCATGGAAATTTGGGGTGCACAGCACCAATCTATGGGTGCTTGGAGTGCTTTGGGCTACTTGGCACCAATCCATGGGTGCTTGGAGTGCTTTGGGCTACCTGGCACCAATCCATGGGTGCTTGGAGTGCTTTGGGCTATCTGGCACCAATCCATGGGTGCTTGGATTGCCTTGGGGTACCTGGCACCAATCCATGGAAATTTGGGGTGCACAGCACCAACCCATGGGTGCTTGGAGTGCTTTGGGCTACCTAGCACCAATCCATGGGTGCTTGGAGTGCCTTGGGGTACCTGGCACCAATCTATGGAAATTTGGGGTGCACAGCACAAATCCATGGATGCTTGGAGTGCCTTGGGCTACTTGGCACCAACCCATGGATGTCTGAGGTGCCCTGGAATATCCAGCACTAACCCATGGATATTTGGGGTACCTTGGGGTACCCTGGAGTATCCAACACCAACCCATGGATGTTTGGGGTACCCACACCAACATCTCCCAGATGTTTTTACCCCCAGATACTTACACCCACCTCATTAGCATCCCCCAAGCATGGCAGGAACCCCTAATTAGGATCTCTCCAGCATAACAAGGATTTTGAGCACTAATTGCTCCGGGTGGGAGTTGGAGAGGGTGGTGGGGACCCTCATTAGGATCTCTCCAGCATGAGGAGGACTTTGGAATGCCTAGTGGGAGTCAGAGTGGGCGTTGAAAGCTGATCAGGGCTGGGAGGTCAGAGGGGAGAGAAGGTCGCGGCACTTTCCGGGAGGTAATTTGGGATATTAGCTCGGCGCGTGCGGATGGAGCCGATAAGGCTGATGGACATGGAACACCCTGGAGCGAGGCTGGGGGAGTTTGGGCTTGGAATCTTCGTGGTGGAGAGGGCTTGGAATCAACTAGGGGAGGTGTCCCTTCATGGAGGATCTTCCCAGTATGGATAATTCTTGGTGGGGTGTGAAAAATAGGATTTGGCAGTGCATAATTGGGATGAGTTGGGAAATCAGTGCTGGTCTTGGTTGGGAAGTTCTTCCCAGCCCTTAGTGTGTGCTCCAGCAGGGAATATTGGCACTTAGATGTGTTGGAAAAGGAGGAGGAGGAGGGAAACCCCCCCAAATTTTCCATAGTTGCTTTGGAAATCCTTTTGTTGTGCAAAACTTCCAAAGCCTCAACCCAATCCTGTCCCAGCCCTGGGAAAACTGATCTAAACCAGATTAAATAGTAGTGAAAAAGGTCTAAAATAGAGCTAAAAATAGTGAGCAAAACTATTCAGGTCTAAAATGTATCTAGAAGAAAAAAGAAGATATAAAATGTGCTTAAACAGATGAAAAATAGGTATGGAATCGATATTAAAAGAGTTTAGATCGATCTAAAATAGGTATCAAATGTACTTAGATATAAAATGGGTGTGAAATAAGAAGAGATGAAGAGAATTAAAATCAATAGGAAGGATTAAAATGCATTTGAATCAATACAGAATAGAGACAGGATGTATTGGAGTGGATATAAAATAGATAAAATTGATTTGAGTCGATATAAAATAGATCTGTGATGATTGAAATCGATCTACAATAGCCATAAAATGCATTAGGAAGTGCTTTTAAATAGGTATAAAATGCATTAAAATCAATATAAAAGAGCTAGAAATCAATATAGAAGAGTTACAAATGCACTTAAATCCTATGCAATGGATATACAGTGGATATACAATGGATAAAAAATGGATATACAATGGATATAAAATGGATAAAAAGTGGATATACAATGGATATATAATGGATATTAAATGGATATAAAGTTGGTATTAAATTGATATTGAATGGATAGAAAATGGATAGACAATGGATAGACAATGGATATAAAGTTGGTTTTAAATTGATATTGAATGGATAGAAAATGGATAGACAATGGATAGACAATGGATATAAAGTTGGTTTTAAATTGATATTGAATGGATAGAAAATTGATAGAAAATGGATATAAAATGGATATACAATGGATGTAAAATTGATATTAAATGGATAGAAAATGGATATAAAATGGGCATAGAATGGGTATAGAATGGGTATAGAATGGATATAGAATGGATCTAGAATGTATATAGAATGTATATAGAATGGATATAGAATTAATGGAATGGATATAAAATGGATATAAAATGGATATAATGGATATAAAATGGCTTTAAACCAATACAGAAGAGCTAGAAATGTCCTTTAATCCCATAAAACAGCTCTCAGAAACCATATTTAAATAGACCTAATCTCTGTTTAAATAATCCTAATCTCTGGTTCAACACATCTCCACCTCCACCCAACCTTCCCTAACGACCTTTAATGGATATAAAATGGATATAAAATGGATATAATGGATATAAAATGGCTTTAAACCAATACAGAAGAGCTAGAAATGTCCTTTAATCCCATAAAACAGCTCTCAGAAACCATATTTAAATAGACCTAATCTCTGTTTAAATAATCCTAATCTCTGGTTCAACACATCTCCACCTCCACCCAACCTTCCCTAACGACCTTTCTCCCCCCTGTGTGTCTCTCTGCTGCAGACCCTGCGGTGATTTCCCCCCAGGACCCCACCTTGCTGATCGGCTCCTCGCTGGTCGCCACGTGCACGCTCAGCCCGGACCTTCCGCTCAAAGCCGAGGACCTGTACTGGACGTTGAACGGGCGACGCCTCCCAACCACCTCCTACACCACCCTGGGCCCCTCCACGCTCAGCGTGGCCCTCGCCCACCTCAACGGCTCCAGGCAGCAGTCAGGGGACAACCTGGTGTGTCACAGCAGAGACGGCAGCATCTTGGCCGGCTCCTGCCTTTACGGTGGACGTACGTCGGCGGCGGCCGGCCG